TAGGTGGCCCCAAGCGAGGGTTTCATGGCGTCTGTGAACCCCAGTCTCATAGCCAGATTTTGTAACAATAAGTATTTTCAGAATAGGAAGACTCACTTTTCCCCCCTAAAATCTTTATTGTTGAAAGTATTACAGATATTCCCTTGTGTTCCCCCATTGACCCCTTCTAGCCTGCATCTGCTCCCCTCCCCACTCTATGCCTTTATGACACTATTGTCTGTGTTTATGGGTTATGCTTATATACATAGAAGTTCTTTAGTTGATCTCTTTGCATCCACCCACTCGCTCTCATCTTCCTTCTGAGAATTGCCAGTCGGTCCCATGCTTTTAGGCTCATTGGTTTTTCTGGTCAGATTTTCAAAAGCATTCATTATTAGCCCAAACCCCCAGATCACTGATCTTTGATATCTAATGAGGATGGTGTGGATTTTGCCCAATGAGCACAGGCTTAAGAGGAAAATACAGGAAATTACAGAGAAAAATGGTCAAGCTAATGGCATTCTGTTCTCCCAAGGAGTTCTGAATAGGGATCCTTTACTTCACTCTGAAGTCAGACTCTCCACCTGAAAGTAAGATTGTAGTGAAGTTAATATTCACTCTGTCTCCTATGTCAGGAACCATGCTAAGTACTTTGCAAATATTATATCACTGAATTCTCATGACAACCCTATGCATTGTAGGTGTGATTCAGTCTTATTTTTAGGGTGCTGTCAAGTAGATACAGCACCAGCTTTAATTATTATCTTTTCAATGTTATTGCATATAGATTGTGTTCACATTTGAATAGACAAGTTCATTAGAAAAACTAGTTAGTTTTTCTCCTATTTATTATTCCTTATGTTTCTTTAAAAACTTTTTTTGCATGCTTGCTTTCTCCTCCATTTTATATTTAAAATTGGGTTTTTTCTTCCTAAAAGCCTCTTACTATACCTTTGACCAGGGTCAGCACACAATAGTCCAGGGCCAGATTAGATTCAAATTAGGCCCACCAACTGCTTTATAAATAAAGTTTTGTTGGAACAGTCATATCCAATTATTTTTCCGCAGAAACCTTCCCACCGATATAGTTGAGCAACTGCCTCTGAAATCATCCTGCCACCATAGTCTAAACATTTACTCTCTGGCCATTCACAAAACTTTGCTGACTTCTGCTTTAGATTAATGCCTTCCATGCAATAGACACAAATATTTGTTGAAAAAAATAGTTTTTCCTCTTCAAGGCAATAATTGGCTCAATTCCAAATTAAACTGGTTTTCTCCAAGGAAGAGCTTTCAAGTCAATGGACTCCTATACAATGGACTCCTCTTTTCTCCTCAGTAGAGTTAGATTTAGAATATCTTCTTGTAGCCAGGCTGGTGTCACTCAGTGTTTGAGCATTGATCTATGAACCAGGTGGTCATGGTATGATTAGGGTCAGGGCACATGCCCAGGTTATGGGCTCGATCCCCAGTGTGAGGTTTGCAGGAGGCAGCCAATCACTGATTCTCTCTCATCATTGATGTTTCTCTCCCTCTCTTCCTCTCCCTTAGTCTCTAAAATCAATAAAAAATATATATTTTTTAAAAAGAAAGCTTATTGTAAAAGAATAATAAGATGCTTGGTGAGAAAAAGGACCACATTCTTGAATCAGGCCTTCATTGATCTGCTTCTGAGCCATGCATTGTGTTTAGGCTTAGTACTAGCTTCAGCTCTCTCCCTGGGTAGTTGGAGACCTTCTGTAAGTGAGTTGTAATCCTACACAACCTCTGACTCTGCAGAGTGTCAAAGTTATTATCTGTGATCTAGTGTTCCTTCATCCAAATGTATGTTGTACAAATCCTTCCTGTGATCCTGCATCGGCTAGTGGGGGTGTGTTAATCCCTCCCCCCCCATACACACACACTGGAGAGAGTACCCTCAGGACTGACTGAATTTAATGCTACTTATTTGGTACACATTTTGGGTCTGGGAGCTGCTGTTTAAGTAAGTCTTAGTCATTCACCACTCAGAAGACTAAGACAGATCCAGGCTCTAGGTATTTTCTGTACCTCGCAGATGTTTATGAAGATACATATATCTGATGTGCATGGATGATCTTTTCACAGTGCTTCAGCTTTAATTCTGGATAACCCTTTTCACCTCTGAATGTCCTGGAGTGTATACATTTCAATGCATGTTTTCCTTTGGACAGACAGTTTTCAGATTTTAATTGAGAAAGGATCACTCTGAGTTCAGGAGAGGTTGGTGCCCAGTTATACCTGGGGACAGACAGACCCTCATTGGTTGAGTTGACATACAGGCCCAGCACAAAGCTCTTGTTCCCTGCTGCTTGATTAACCCTTGATTTCATGTTGATTTCTAGCTCCACCTAAGGTCACCAGTGTTCCAACACCACCTAAGGTTTTCACCTCTGCTCCTACAACTCCAGCACCAACACTGAACCTTCAGACAGGTAAACTGATATGAGGCTAGAAGCATTCTAATGAATGAATGACGGCCACCAGAGTATGTGTTAAGGCAGAGTTGCCATCTATGCTAAAGGTTTTTCCCTGGGTTCCATAGGGCCTCGTGTGATCTGTGAAACCTTGTCCCATATTACATGCATCTGATAGGTATCTTCAGAGTGAGGGGACCCAATTTTTTAAAAATTGGATTCTCAAAGGGTTTCATCATTAGCCAAACAACCCAGACCTGTGATATTGGACAACTAATGGTATGTATTTGGTCCAGTTGGCATTGGTTTATGAGTAAAATCTAGGTTATTCCAGAGAAGAAGGGAAATATGAGTGGAATTCCTTTAGTCCTCTCTGAGTTGGACCCTTTATACTAGGATAACAAGCCCACCGCTAGTTTACCTGTAATATTTTATTGAAAGAACCATTTCTAATCATTGTACCATCAGGTAGATCTTTGGCTGCTTTCTCAATGTCAGAGTTGAACAATAGCCACTCACTCAGACTATAGCCACCAAACTCTAACACTTCCATCTGGCCATTTACAGAAGGTTTGCTGACCTGTGCTTTAGACCAATGCCTTACATATAATAAACACTGACAAATATTTGTTGATTTATGTTTCTTGCACTTCATGGCAAAAATTGGCTTGATTCCAAATTCAACTGTATCTCTCCAAAGAAGAGCTTTTAAACAATTGGCCTCCTGTGCAAAGATTCTCTTTCTTCTAGTTATTCAAGTTGAGATTCAAGGAAGCTTCTAGTGGGATACAAAGGTGCCTGGTGAGGAAAAAATACACATTGTAGATCAGGCATTCATTGATGGCCTTTTGTGCCAGGCACTGTGTTTGTGCTTAATTCCACTGCCATCTCTCTCTCTGGGTAGCTCTGAGACCTTCTGTAACTGCTTTGAAATCCTAAATCTGCTCTGTCATGGAAAGAGCCCAAGTTATTACCTTTTCATTTCTTAGTTGGGAAGGAATCATTGGTGGCCTAATTCACCTTTCAACCAAGTGTATAATGTATAAATGGTCTGTGTGATCTAGCATATACTTGTGGTGTGAGTTAATTTAGGTGCCGGACTCCTGGGAAGGTATTCACGACTGACTGAAATGAATGCTATTTATTGGGTAAACATTCTGGGCCTGGAACTACTGTTTAAATCTTAGTCATGCACCACAGAGAGGACAAAGTCAGTTCCTGGCCCTGGACATTTTCCCAGTCTCACCAATGCGTAGAAGGATATGTAAATCTGATACGCATGGCTGGTGTCTTCAAAGTGCTTCAGTGCATAATCCGAGCAACCTTTTTCACATCTGAAGCTCCTGGAACCTATACTTTTCAATGCAGCTGTTTCTTTTTTGAAGGCTGGTCCTCAATCCCAGCCCGGTCAGATTCTAGTAGACTAAGGACAACGACTCTGAGCTCAGGGGAGATTAGTGCCCAATTCTGCAGGGGACAGTCTCTCATTGGATGTGTGTGTGTGCGGGCCCAGCACAAAGCTCTCATTCTCTGCTGCTTGATTAATGCTTGCTTTCATGGTGATTTCTAGGTCCAACTAATGTCACCATGGGCCCAACATCACCTATGATCTCTTCTACAAAGCCAGCAGGAGGGCCGCAGAAATTCAAGACAGGTAAACTGATGTGTTTTCTAGCCCAAGGCTCTAGTGAGAGGATGTAGACTGCTGAGGGCATGTGCTAAGGCAGAGTTGCAATCTAGGGTATGAATTCTTTCTTGATTTGTAAACATGGACTTCACAGTATCTTTTTTTTTTTTTTTTTTTTTTTTTTTTCTCTTACACTTTTCCAAACCTGGCATTTTTACCTATTAGTACTTATAGAGTGAAGGAACTTTTTTTTTTTTTTAGCCAATGAGATTCTCAAAAGGGTTTTTTATTATCCCCAAATCTCAGACATCTTGGACATCTAATGCAGATGGTGAGGATTTGGCCTAGGGAGCACAGGTTTATGAGGAAAGTCTAGGTTATGCCAGGAAGTAGGGAAAAGCTAATGAGAGTCCTTCCTCATGTTCTAGACATTTTCTCCACCTCATGCATGTTTTTGAAGATACATACATCTGATATGCATGGTCTTCAGAGTGCTTCAGTGTAAATTACAGGTTTCCTTTTCACCTGTGAAACCCCTGGGAAATACACTTTCCCATACAGCTGATTTCTTTTTGCCAGTGTGACTTCAAGCCCTCCCCTGTCAGAGTCTATTGAGCAAGGACAGGAGCTCTGAGCTCAGGAGATTTGTGCCCAGGTCTACAGGGGAACCCAGTGCCTCACTGGCTTTGTTGATATTCATACCCAGCACAAAGCTCTTGTTTTTTCCTGCTGGGTTTATACTTGCTTTCATGTGGATTTCTAGCTGCACCTGAGCTCACCAGGGTCCCAAGGTCACCTGGGGTCTCCTCCTCTGCTATAGCACCAGTTCGCCTGCAGAACATCCCAAGAAAGAAAGTGATGTGTTTTTGAGCCCAGAGGCCTTGCAATGAGAGGAGGTAGACCACCCAGGGTATTATCATAAGGTGGACGTATAATCTAGAATTAATGTTCTTCCCTGGGTTAGAAATTTAAGCTTCATAGTAGCTGACAATCCTCATTCCAGATTTGTTGTTTCCTTTGTAACTGTAAGTATTTTCAGTGAAGGGATCATGGTTTTTTTAAAATCAGATTCTCCAGGGGATTATTAGCCCACAAGTCCCCAGACCATTTCTCTTTGACATCTAATGAGAATGGTGTGGACTTGGCTCAGTTGAGCACAGGTCCACAGGGAGCTTGAAGTGGAGATTCTTTATCCACTGTGAAGTCAGAGCCTCATCTGGAAGGCAAGCTTCATCAAGATGATCATTTCCTCTGTCTCCTGTGTGACAGGATTTGTTCTAAATTTTTTCCCCTCCCAATTTACAAATTTTAATTTGCTTATTATGTGAAGTTATAGTTGATGTACAATATATTACTTATAGGTGTACAACCCCATGATTAGATGTTTATATAAGTCACAAAGTGATCGCCCTGATAAATTGAGAATCCATGTGACACCATATATAGTTATGACAATATTACTGACTATATTCCCTGTGCTGTAGTTTACATCCCTGTGACTATTGTTGAAACTACCAATTTGTACTTCGAAATCCCTCGATCTTTTTCACTCATGCCCCTAACACATTTCCCATCTGCTAAGTTCTTTACAAGTAGTGTATTACTTGATTCTTATGCCAGCCCTACCCATTATAGGTGTGATTCAATTCTGTTTTATATTTGTGGGAACCTAGGCACAGAGTCTAATTTCATTGTTGAAAGGCATATGGGTAGAAAGTGGTTGAGTCAAGATTCAGTCTCCTTTAGTTTGAATTTGGGACTGTGGGTATAGCTACCGTATGGTGTTTCTACCATGAGGCCTGAAGTTATATTAGGATGAATTTGTCCTGCTCTGACACCCTCACTGAAAAAGCCCTTTATATAATACCCTGTCTTTTTATGTCACTCAGTGACAGTTTTGCTTCTAGCTTCTTTACTGTAGTATGCAGCATAAAAATCGAAAAATTGCTATTTATACTTATGACAAAGTATATATCTGATTTAAGAATTTCATGGGTTTAAAATGTATGGCTTCCCTTTTCAATTCAGGCTACGTGCTTCACACTTCAAGTTTCTGATAGTTGAGAGTTTAGTGTAATACAAATGGAGAATAATTTGCTGTATGGGTGGGGAAATAGCTTGGCCTTCTGAGGACAAGTTCAGGTTCCAATCTTCTATTTTTAAGATTAAAAAGGTAACACTAAGTGAAGATTCTCAAAGCCTTTGACACTCCTTGACTCCTTGAGGTGATCTGGATTCTGAAGAGTAACAGAAATGTCTCAA